TCAGCAGCATTCCCATTCCCAACCAAGCTTCTTGCTGTGAATCCATTGAGATGCATGTTGTGAGCTATTGGAGGTTCAAACTGCAACTGTTCAAGTATGTAGGCACAATGATGGATGCACTGAAAGCAAACTTGTATGCTAGGATTGATGTACAGAAAGCAGGTAATTATCCCAACTATTGTGATTTGAAAAATGCTTGGACAGATTTGCAGGATCTGCACTTGAAAATCCTAGATTTTCGCCATTTAAGTTTGTATTATTGTTTTATATTTTCCCTCTCAAAGCCATGATGTTGTCATTGACTGCCACAGTGGCGGCCAGCCTCCATTGCTATCCAATCCGGCCAGCTACCTTCAATCCATCCCCCAAAACCACCAAAAACAATCAATCAATCACATTGGAGGCTCAAACATTGTCTCAATGAAACCATTTGCATACATTCTTCTTGAAAAGGGCAAACCATCATCATGGTATCATAGTGCTAGCAAACTCAGAAGAAAATTTGAGTCAGTATTTTGGCCTTGAAACTGATTCTGAGTCTGACCAATGGTGTTTCTGATCAATTTTGCCTTATCCCCTCAACATGTAGGCACAAGTCATTCAATCCTAATTTTTACCGAGTTAAATGGTTTTGATCTTGACTTGTATCCTATCATGCTTCATACCTGCTTCAATACCATTGATCTCAGCCCACTGCCTATCATCCTTGTTACCTCATATGTGTGGTGTTGTTGTGATCTCAAAGACTATAATAAATGAAGTCCAAGATTCAATACCAACTTGGTGAGATGTATACAAGCAACCTTGGAGTTGTCATCAATGATATGTGACCCAGGTCAAGAGACTGATCTCAAGCCAAGTAGAGTTAGAATCAGTTGGTAGAGGAACCCTCAATGCAGAATTGATAAGTTCTGAATCAGCAACTTTGGTTGGTAAGCCCTTGGAGTAAAGTTCCAAGCAAGTTTATCAAATCGGTGCTAATCTCATTCAGATTTCTAACATTTTGAACACAAGTTTATCAAATCGGTGCTAATCTCATTCAGATTTCTAACATTTTGAACAAGAGCTACATCCTTTTCCCTATCCTTCCTACCATCTTTATCCCGCCTCTTATCATCCCTATGTAGACTACAGTCAAGTCATTACTGTAGCCTAGAAGAGAGTTCATCTTACTCTAAGCCCGGCAACACGACACTCATACCATGTACGTCCCCTTACTTAAGGGCACTTAACCCCTCCTCTTACTAATCTACTGGCCTTCATAAAGGCTATAGTAAGACCCTTCCACCCCATCAACGCCTGGTCACCTTAGAGACCAGCGCTGACAGTGACTATATTGACTTGGTAGAAACATAATCCTTCATGGTGGGCTTGATGTCCATTGTGCAGATGGCAAAGAGAGCCATAAACCCTAGTAACACCATAATCCCATGGATGATATTGAACCATTTCAAGTTCAAAAACACACACCAGACATGTCTTCTCTGCATTGGGATATCCCCTCCCTTTTTCAGCGGAGTTGGACATCCACATCCGCTGGCGGGTATCCGGCGGCCACAGCGTGTATCCACTAGAGCTGGTCGCTATGCATCTGGATATCCGGCCAAATGGCCATCCGCATCCGCACCCACACCTGGGTATCCGTTGTAAGACTCAAAAGTGGTTATGAAAACCCTTTTGCTGAATGGAGAAGGGGATGATGGAGTTGCAAGCTCTGCCCTTCTATGCTATCAGAACAACAAGACCACCAAGCTTAGCTTGGCAGTTATATTTATCGTGATAGAGGATAGTTCAAGATGAAGCTTCCGAGTGATGTGTATAAGGGTCTGAAGTTGTTAATGAGTGATGATTATATTGATGGAGTTGTTTTTCAAAGCTTTAATACCAAGGCTTGGAGCTCTGGGAGCGCTATGCTTCAACCAGTAATGGTATGTGAGGCAGGTTATGGGCACTTGGCACTTGTTATGCTGATGAAACTGTTATGGTTGTATTTCAATATAATGTAGTGTTATGGCTGTCACTTGTATATAATCTGTAAGGGTGTTTAAGATGATCTGGTCCACTGGTGGGATGATGGAGGGAACAACTGGCAGGCAGAGGCCTCCTTATATAGACAAATGTGAGGGATTTTAGCCCCAGGGTACAGGCTTTTGAGGCATTTTAGCTGGCCTGAAGATCCAATGAGGGAATTTAGCTAGTCTAGTACATGCAGGTGAGGGATATTGGCTGGTGAGAGCACTGCCTTGAGGGAATTTGGCTAGCCTACAAGGTCCTACTACAAAGGAATGCATGTGCACCTACAAAGGAATTCAATATGAACTATGTGCCAATAAAGGAATTCAATACAACACAAAGGAATTCAATATTCAATATGCATCCAGTATTCAAAATGAGCCATACTCAGAGTAAAGAATCCAAAAGATATCCCGTGACAGGTTGAAATCTGTGTAACTTCTAAACCATGAGAGATATGGGGTCAGTTGTAGTGGGTGACTAGGGTTAATTTTACCTGAGAATTCCATTTCTGATGTTATTTTTATTATATATTTAGTTTATAAAGAGATAATAAGAAATTTTTATATTTTCTGCGTAGAAACACAGTATTATTTACCACACCGTCAGCCGCAGTGGGTATCCACAGATACCTGCCCTTTAAAGGGCCGGCAAGGGACCGGCTGGAAGGGTTTCCTTCCAGCCTGCAAGGTACATGCATGTACCTTGATGGCTGGAAGGATTTCCTTCCAGTCGACCAGCGAGGTACATGTACCCCGCCGGCTGGAAGGATTTCCTTCTGGTCGACGAGTTACATGTACCTTGTTGACTGGAAGAATTTCCTTCCAGCCTCAGGTATCCTTTGGGATACCCGGATACCCACCAGGGTTTTGCGGAAAAGGGGCCATCCACACCCGAATCCACACCCTCTGGCGGGTATCTGTTGGTACCAGCGGGTATCCGCCAGGGGATAACGGATAACTGCGGTAGAGATCGTTTGTTCGTACTTGGGTACTTGTTGGTACCTAGGTACCTGTTGAATTTTTTCAAAAAATTGGTACCAAGTACTGCACCAGGCACCTCCTGGCGGGTACCGGCGGTACTTTTGGCGGGTACCGCGGGTACCTCCCCCCTCTTTCTAACCTAGGTTCACTTTCAGATTACCAAGTCACTTTATTATTATTATTTTTTCATATTTATTGTAAAATATCAGTCCCAAGTCACTTTTTTTCCATTCTTTCATATTTATTGTGAAATGTTGACAACAAATTGGAAGAATCCTACTTTGTTATTATATTTTCATATTTATTGAAAATATCATTCCCAAGTCACTGTTTTTCCTTTTGTCATATTTGTTGTAAGACATCTTAAACCAATTGGAAGAACCTTACTTCATTATTATTATTATTTTCATATTTATTGTAAAACATCAATCCCAAGTCAATTTTTTCATTTGTTCACATTTAATAATTTATTTTAAAGCTTAAACTGTCTACAAATTATATCTAATTAGATTATTAGAAGAATCTTCATTGTTTTCCAAAACTATCACCTTCCTTTTTGATTTTTGGTTAGACTTCTTGTTCTTATCCTTGAGTCCCTGCTTCCATGTAGCCAAGGTACCTTCTTGGTGTTGAAATTTTAGGACTCAAGAAGGGAAGAAGGTTGATGGCCAAAAAAGGATGCACCCTTTTTTGGGAAAGGCTCACAGAAAAATGAGTGTAAGAGCCGATGATTTTTATTCACAAGTATCTAGCTAGGTTTAAATATACTAAATACAAGTGTGTCAAAATGTGGTTGTAAGAAATGAAATGAATAGAAAAAACATATTGAATAAAACACTGAGAGAAAGAAACATGAGTCTTGGAAGTAACAAACTGGACAGGGCTTCTCAGTCTCTTTTAGTCAAGCCAGATGAGTTAATCAAGAAAAACATGCTATAATTCACAAATAACTAGAGTCGTTAATTCTAATTAATCAGGTTTTAATAAATCAAACAGTAAATCAGAAAAAAGAAGAATTCATCGTGGAGACATGAGTAGTTTAGAGTAAGCTGATTACTTATGGTTCAAATTTGACTCAAAAAGGGGCTTAAAACAACCAAAAACATGCTACTTGAAGAATATAGTCTGGTCTGACTTTTGATGACTAGAAATGGATGAAGGGCAGAGAGAGACAGAACTGAGGAAAATTCAACACTTGGAGTTCTTGGAGTAGAAGGCCACCGTCATTTTGGTAGGGAAGTGAGGGGGTACCTGTAGTGGTACCTAGGTACCTGTTCAATTTTTCACAAAAATAGGTACCAAGTACCGCACCTGGCACCTCCCGACGGGTGCGGGGCGGGTGTGAAGGGTACCCCCCAAGCGGTACTAGGTACCTAGCAAAGGGTACCGCGGAACAATCTCTAAACTGCGGCAGATTATCTGCGACCAGCTCCAGTATCTACAGATACCCGCCCTTTAAATGGTTGAGGCACGACCTCGCCGGCTGGAAGGAAACCCTTCCAGCTGGCCACTTTCCACCTCTTGGCCTTGGGTATCTTCCAGGAATTTGGGGAAAAGAGGCCATCCGCACCTGAATCTGTATCCCCTGGTGCTAGGGGGTATCCGCCAGCGGATAATGGGTATCCGCAATGGATACCCTGAGACCATCTTTAACACACACCCCTCCCCTCACCTAAATACATGAAGATTAGATATGGCACTTTGGAACCTGTTGGGGGGGGGTACCTGCCAAATTTCAAAACGTTCCCTACACACAATCAGCCATCATTTATTAGAGATGTCACTTCATACCTGGGTACCCACCTCAAAAATCAAATATTGTGGACACCCACACCAACACTGGGTCTCTACTTTATGCTGCACTATCTGCATTATCTCAGTAATGTAGTGCACTTGATTCCTTCCCTGACACATTAACATTATCTGTAGTGGCAGATTTTTCTTTCAGCCAGGAGTGTAATGGTGAAGTTTTTGTGTGTTTTGAATGGATAAAGTAATGCATTATCAGCTTATCCAGATGTCAAGCAACCTCTAAAACATTTTAAGTGGCAAAAAGCCTCTATTTTTGAGCTTTGGCAGCAACACATGCCATGAATGTCCCGAAAGTATCACATGTCTTACCAATATTTATGGTCTTTTTTTTCAAAAAAAAAAACTACAAGTTACTGATAGTGTAATGAGCATGAAAAAAATTCCAAGGCAAAATGGATAATGTAATGTGCAAAAAATTTTCAAACATCATGGGGAAAGTAATGATAATGAGTGGAAATTCACTACTTTATCTTTACACTAGAATCAACAGTGGGCCGCTACGCTACACTACGCTATTTGACCACTAACTGTTAGTGTAGTGGCCTTTTTATTTCCTGGAAATTCTGTAGTGTTAGCTGACGCTAAACCCCACTACGCTAACTGTTAGTGTAGTGTAAATTTTTCTCTCAAATTTTTTGGTAGTGTTAGCTTCAAATAATCTCAGCTAAACTAACAGTTAGTGTAACTTTTTTTGTGCAAACAAAATTTTGACTGTCAGATAGTGTAACTGATTTGAAGCTAACATTTAGTGTAACTTATACCAAATTAAGCTACGCTACACTACACTACATGTCTAGTTACGCTACACTTCAGTAGAAGTTACACCATCATCAATTAGAGAAATTGACATGTCAACTAAGGATTTATGCTCTTGAACCCTCTTCCTCTGCTTTCTGTTTTCAATGGACAAGTTGTGTGAACTGTCCATATAACTGATACGACCGAGGTCCATAGTGACAATTTTCAATGTCCTATGATCACACACAATCCCACAGAAAATGAACAGCACAAGAAAAAAAAATGATGATCAATTGAGGGGATCTGGATGTAGGCCCCCCAATCAGGCACTGTCTTCAGGGTATACTAATGCTAGTCATGTGGTCATGTAGCTTTTAATCAGTTATGCTAACAGTTAGTGTAACTTTTTCACCAGTTGCGCTAACAGTTAGTGTAACTGAGGGTACCACTACACTAACTGTTAGTGTAACTTTTTGCATTACACTAACATGTAGTGTAGTGGGTTCACCCACTAACACCACTAAAATTTCACTAACAGGATTTTGGTTAGTGTTAGTTGTGCCTTTTTAAAGGTAGCTAACACTACGCTAAAGTTTTTTTTTGTTTTTTCAAAAATCCTGTAGTGTTAGTGGGCCAAAAATTCCCGCTAACGGTAACTTTTGTGTAGCATAGCTTAAAAAGCTAACACTACGCTGCACTAACACTACGGTTAGTGTAACTGGCCCACTGTTGCTAGAATTATGGGTAATGTAACTACCCAGTGTTGCTCGCACCCGCACCCTCCAGGGCAGGTACCTGGGTACCTGGGGCAGGTTTTGAGGATTTCTTTCTTTCTTTCTTTCTTTCTTTCTTTCTTTCTTTCTTTCTTTCTTTCTTTCTTTCTTTCTTTCTTTCTTTCTTTCTTTCTTTCTTTCTTTCTTTCTTTCTTTCTTTCTTTCTTTCTTTCTTTCTTTCTTTCTTTCTTTCTTTCTTTCTTTCTTTCTTTCTTCTTCTTCTTCTTCTTCTTCTTCTTCTTCTTCTTGATTCTATCTCTCTCTCTTGAATGTTTCCTTCCTTCCTTGTTTTGTTCACTGATTCTTCTAGATCATTTTCATCACCATCACAAAACAAATAACCCACCAAAAAAAACTTTTTCCCTCTTCCTTTCCAAATACCTTCCCCCCAATGTTTTTTGTTTAGCTCAACACCTATTTACATAGTTCTTTTCCCCATGTTTTTGCCGGTTTATTGTTTTTGTTTTTTTTCTGTTTTTTTTTCTGTTTTTTTTTTTCTGTTTTTTTTTCTGTTTTTTTTTTCTGTTTTTCATTTTTATTCATTTTGTACTTTTGCTTTTTGTGCCTTTTTTTTCTCGTGAGGCTTAATAGATTGAATGACTTGGTGACTTCAGGGATGATGTAATGTGAGTGCTTGGGTAAGTTGGTCAAAGCCATCGCCATACTGACTATAATCACAGATGATTGCACGAAATGAGTCGATGATTTTGTAGCAGTTGTCACATAAAGGGTTGTGCACCGGGGTCCAGCCAAGGCAGCGCTTGCAAATAACGGCCATATGTCGGTCTCGTACCTCGTTCGGACAAAGCTGGCAGGGGTCCCGTCTGATCCACAGCTGATATTCTGACATTGCGCCCGTTGACTGACAATTCGGCTTGTGCACAACCTGTTCCACGGCCGGAGATCCCCTGGCTAGCGCCGGGCCCCTGCACAAGTCCGCTGATAGTGGTGACGGCGCTGAGACCCGTTTCATCATCATCAGCAGCATTCCCATGGCAACTAAGCTTCTTGCTGTAAATCCATCGAGATGCATCTTGTGAGCTACTTGAGATTTGAACTTGCAACAGTTGATGATTGATGTAAGATCAATGATGGACTGAACAATTGGTGTGCGGAGAGCGGGTGATTATCCAACTAGACTAAAGGTTGGTATCTTGATTGACCAGAACGCACTTTATAATCTCATGCAGTTCCTCTCAAACCCAAGTCCCAGAGTTTTAAGATGTCCATCTAAACAGGAGGAGCAGTCAGTCATTATGTCAGAAGACTTGCTCTTCATCACTCATCATACAAATTCTGACTTCAACATAACAAGCATATTTTTGGTTGGGTTGCGTGTTTTTTAGACTATACAAATCCACAAATCAATACACACCTTTGATGCTAGTTATACTATGTAAAATTGTTTTAAGGGCCTGTACCATTGCAGCCTGCAATTTTCCAAAAGTTGAAGTAAAACTAATTTTGAATTGAAAATTCAACCTGCCTCAAAGTTCCTGTGTATTAATAACAACCCATTCCCACAATCACCAAACAAGAATTTTGGATGAATCCATCAAATTTCAAAATCAAAACCTGAGGCTGTTTTTGGGTTAATCTTCATTTCTACAGAACAAGACTGTTTTTAATACTGGCTGGTACCATCCCTTGCTGATTGGTACCCATCACTAATCTGTTACTCAGAAAATGATTTACTGAAAAGAAATCATCCTTTGTAGATTCTTGTGTTTAACACATGTAGAAAATTATCCCTACTAGATCATCATTGTTACCATTTGCAGTATCAGCTGATAACAAACGCAGCAGGAAAGGACAGGAACTTAGTGAATTACTCACCCCAGTGATGCACCAAGGCAGGGCAGCTGATCCAGCAATGAAAATGACTGAGTTTTTAAAGAGGAACACCACCTTGAGCTAAAGTAAGTTACTTCTTTCCAGAAGCATATCTATCTTAGCTTAAAACAAGCCCCACGTTAATTGACTTGCAAAGCAAGCCTCCAAAAGAGGGGCTGGGAGTACAGTGAACGTTTTTGGCTTGAGAGGTTTTGATGTTTTGGTGGGAGGAAAATTGCCCTGCAATTCCCCCCATCTTCCACCCACAAATACAGTCTGTGTTGGATCATTAAAAACAGACAGATCTTGCCTACTATCCAACAATAGATGAGAATCTTTTTGCCCTTCAGAAATATTTGAATTCCTGGGTGAATCTCATGCTTTCTTGTATTCAGGCCATCTGTATTCCTCAATACAGCCACATAAAGATGGTCCAGGCTCATTGAATCATGGAATTTGTAATGGATTTTGAATGTGTTCAAAAGACAAAGTAAGTTTCATTATTTATCAGATGGTAGGCAAGATCCGCCCAGTTGTAATGATCCAACAGGCAGGTTGTATTTGTGGGTGGAAGATGGGGGGAAGTGTATGGCAATTTCCCCTCACTAAAACATCAAAACCTCTCAATCCAAAATGTTCACTTTAATCCCAAGCCCCTCCTTTGGAGACTTTGTTGAGGGAAACACAGGATGAGTTGCCCAAAGTTCACAGACTAGAAGCAACGGTGAAACGATGTGATATGATGTGATAAATCACCTTGTATTGGTATCACATCGTTTTTGCGATGCAGGCTCAAACAATACTGATGCATCACATCAGTTAAGCAATGCATCACATTGGAAAGCCAATGCAATACCAATGCATCACATCGCTTAACCAATGCAATGCATGTATTTATCACCCATATCAGACGCATTGGGTCAAAAGATGAATGAGCTACAAAAGCCCACTTGGCAGGCAAATGGATGCCAAGTGGGCATGGTATTGATCATGAGTCTCACCTGGTGAGGGTGATGGGGGGCTTTTGAGAGGCCGCTTAATCGGTTGTATTGATTGCGCTTGCGAGAAGTCCCTGAGATGATGTACGGGTCATGTCAGTGCCAGTCTCTTGTGTGACCAGGCGTTGATGATTCACAGGTCACACTATCACTGCTAGCTCCAGCTAGCAGCCAGTGGAAATGAAACCTCTCCTCGACGCTAGGAAGCGGAGGGGTTAAGCTCCCTGAATAAGGGGACGTAGGCGGTAAGAGCGTTGCTTTGCCGGGTTTAGAACTGAATAGAACTCTCTTCTAGGCTACTGTAATGACTTTACAGTAGGCTAGGGAAGATAAGACACCGAATAGAAGATGGGGGGAAGGAACTTAGAAGGCTAAATAATAGATTATAAACCCCACTCACAGTTTTGATGTAAGGTAAACGGGTTGTATGGTAATCTCTGGGGGGAGTATTCTTGGGAAGAAGACCTCCCCCTTAAGTATTACAAAGGCAGGGGTCAACCTGCCTGTGAGACCGGTGAGGCCTACAGATGATCATGTATGTATATAAATCATAAATGATCAAAATATGTATATAAATTAAGATTTAAACCAAAAGTGGAGGAAATGATGTCATTCAAGCTCAAAGGAGAAAGAATGATGTCATCTCTCTAATTACAGTGTATAGAGAGATGATTAAGCTTTCAGGCTATATGTATATAATCTTTCTAAAATATGAATATTAATACAGAGGTAAATACTGAAGTAATTCCGTGGAATTACTTTAAGCATAAAAGTATAAAATAAAAGGGCCTTAATAAAAAAACCCGCATTTTCCGTGTTTTGACGCGGTTTCTGCTGCGCGCAGCACACGCGCATTCTGCGTTTAAACCCGCTTTTTTAATTAATTTTTTTTGCCATTAATTTTAATTTTTTTTTAATTTTTTAAAATTGTTTCCTACACAAAAAAACGTGTAGAATTTAATGGTAAAGTCCATTTTGCATAAAAATGACTTTTGATTCTTAATTTTTTTTTCCACTCATTTTTTCCGTTAATTGTTTGCTTTAAGTTTTTTACCTCATTTTTCAAGATTTTGTGTAACTTTAAAGTTGTTTCCTACATTATTAAGTGTGTAAAAATTTATGGTGAAATCCAATTTTCATAAAAATGAATGGATCATTTATAATAATGCAATTACACCCATTTTTTCACTTAAATTTTTAGAGCTCAATTTTCATTCTTTTTTCCCATTTTAAAATTTTTTCCTACACTTTAAGACATGTCTAAATTTATGGTAAAAATTATTTTGAATCAAAGTGAGAACTACATCTTGTATACTGCATTTGACACCGTTTTTTCATTTAGTTCTTCACTTTTTCACTCAATTGTTTGCATTAATTTTTTTACCTTATTTTTTCTGCTTTTTTGAAATTTGAAAGTTGTTTCCTACATTTCAAAGTGTTTAGAACTTACTGGTAATATTCAATTTCCATAAAACTCAACGGTTCATTCTGAAAACTGTAATCAGCCTTAAAATTCAATTGATTTTTAAGAGCTTAATTTTCATGATTTTTTGACATTTTAAATCTGTTTCCTACACTTTCAGGCATTTATAGAATTATTGTATAAATCAATTTGCATCAAAATGAAAAATGTACCTTGAATAAAGCCTTTGACATGTTTCTTTAATTAATTCTTACACGCTTAATTATCCTTATTTTATGGAATTTTAAGTTCATTTCCTACACTTTGAAAGGTTTTCAAATTGTTGGCTGTATCCATTTTGCATTCAAAGAAAATTTGTATACAGTACAAATTATGCAAGAAACGGTGTACACTCTTATATTAAGATTTAAGCTTTTCTTTTGAGGCAAAATGAATTCTACCATTGAATTCTACACACTTTTAGATGTAGGAAATAGATTTGAAATTTCAAAAAATGATTAAAATCAAGCCGGTAAAAATTAATTAAAAAAACATCGAAAAAAAACCTGTCCCACGCAGTATTCATTGCCAATCTTTGGTTTTTATGCTAAATAATTGCTACCATCATTTTATCCATGTCTTGAAGTGTGGGAAATAATTTTAAAAAGTCAAGAAAGAATGAAAATTAAGCTGTAAAAATTTGAGTGAAAAAAGTGTCTAATTTCAGTATTCAAAGTGAACAGTTGAGTTTTAGAAAATTTGGATTGCGCCATTAAATTCTGCATGTTTTAAAACCAAGGAAATAACTTTAAAATCTCAAAAAAACATAAAAAATAAGGGCATTAATAAAAAAACACGGTTTTTCCGCGTTTACATGCGGTTTTGCTGCGGCACAGCACACGCGGTTTCGGTGTTTAAACACGGTTTTGTATATAATTTTTTACCACTTATTTTTCAAGTTTTTTTGAATTTTTAAAGTTCTTTCCTACACTTTAAAAGGTGTAGAATTTGGTGGTAAAAACCATTTTCCATAAAAATGAAGGGCCTTAATAAAAAAACACGGTTTTTCCGCGTTTACACGCGGTTTTTCTGCGGCACAGCACACCCGGTTTCCGCGTTTAAACACGGTTTTGTAATCAATTTTATACCGCTTATTTTTTGAGTTTTTTGAATTTTTAAAATTGTTTCCTGGGTTTCCAAGCGCGTAGAATTTAATGGTAAAAACCATTTTCCATAAAAATGAATTTTGATTATTAATTATTTTTTTCACTCATTTCTCAATTAATTGTTTGCAAACATGTTTGTACCTTATTTTTTAGCCTTTTTTGAAATTTTAAAATTATTTCCTAGTTTAAATGTGCGTAGAATTTAATGGTGCAATCCAATTTTTTTAAAACTCTACGGTTCATTTTTAATACTGAAATTAGCCCCATTTTTTGACTTAATTTTTTACAGCTTAATTTTCATTATTTTTTGATGTTTCAAATTTTCTTCCTACACTTCAAGACATGTAAAAAATTATGGTAACAACCATTTTTCCCCAAATTGAAAACTATACCTTGAATGCTGCATTTGACACCGTTTTTTTAATTAATTCATCACTTTTTCACTTAATTGTTTGCATACATGTGTGTACCTTATTTTTATGCTTTTTTGAAGTTTTAAAGTTTCTTCCTACATTTGAAAGTGTGTAGAATTTAATGGTAACATCCAATTTTCTTAAAACTCAACGGTTCATTCTGAATACTGTAATTAGTCATATTTTTCAATTGATTTTTAAGAGCTTAATTTTAATTATTT